TTTTTAGCATAGACTAGTGGATCCACTTATTTGAGGTGTTTTATATTCCGACAAGTTATAGGACAGTTCTGGCAATGTGGGCGTGACGTTGTATCATCACATAGCTCATAGTGATGTTGTTGGTTAGAGAAACTCTCACAAAGTTATATTAATTTATTATATATGTATATTGAGTTGTTTTTTACTGTTTTAAATGCTTCATATAAACTGCATCTTTAATGTTGTTTAATTCTGCACTTGAGTTGAGTATCCATGAGTTTGAGTAAAGTTGAGGAAAGTGTTTCTTTCATATTCCAGTTCAAGCTTATGTATTGTTTAGAATTCCCCTCGTATGCTCGTACATTCAACGTACTGATGTCATTTGGCCTGCATCATTTTATGATGCAAATACAAGTAACCAGGTTCAGCATCCAGCGCCTCGTTGATCCAATTGAGCACTCAGAGTCAGTTGGTGAGCCTCCTTGCTTCCGGAGGATTCCCTTTTTATTGCTTTATTAGTTAGTTCATTAGGATGTCGTAGATCTTATTCCGACGTCCATCTCAGTTGTTATAGGCTTCATTGATAGTAGTTGATGTTAGTTCTTGTGTCTTTCCATTCATGCTTTGATGATTGAGACTTGAGTGCCATTTTGGCTAGTGAATGGTCTATATACATTCTAAGTTTTTATTGAGATTTCAGTTTACTTTGAAAGTACTTTTAGAGGGTGTTTGGATTGACTTAAAAGTTGGTCAAACCTACTTTTAAGTCAGTTTTTTTACTTCTGGACGTGTTTGGCAAATATGAAACAACTTAAAATAAGTCGAAAATTACTTAAAATAAGTTACGAAGTGTTTGGCAAGGTAAAAAATGACTTAAAACAAGTTAGAAACCAAAAGTAGGTCTCCCCCTACTTTTTATTTTTTTGACTTAAAAATTACTTTTTTTAAGCTAATCCAAACGGGCTCTTAAACATATGAATATTAAGGAAGCAAAAAAAAAAGGATGGGGTGGGGTAAGGGATGGTAAGTACCTAAAATTTAAGATGGTGGAAAAGAAGAGAAATTGTGAATACTTTAACCAAATGAAATATTAGTAACAAAAACTTATTTATAATGAGATCAGATGTTAAGAGTAGTAGAAAAGACTCAATTTATTATGAGATGTTATGAGAAGTAAAAAAGACTCATTATATATATACATACATTTATAGTAAGGATGGCATGCAAATATGAATGGAGAAAGTACCGTATAAATTTTGTGCTTTTTATAAATAGACAGCAAACAATTTTTTGAGTAAACAGTTAGATTAATTTTATAACAATAAAAAGAGAAAAGGAAACAAAAATTCCCTAAAAAATTTATATTCCCAGACCTCTCCCCTTTCCCACCAACAACTGAGCACAGAACTCAGAAGATTCTTCTCCTTTTCTTTTGTGACGAAATTACCCCTGCGATATCCCCAAAACTCAGCCAATAACTGAAAGGTAGAGCCGAAAATATTCCCAAACAGAATAATGGCGAGGGGCAGTCTTTGGTAACAAACTCTTGTGTGTATAACGAACTATAAATACAGCTCACGTTCCTCATTCTTCTTCATCAAATTGTAATCAAGAGATTTCTATCTTGTAATCAGGAGATCTACTTGGAATCGATTCATAATGCATTTTGATTTTTCTGAATAGTTTACATGTATTACCGTAATTCTTTCTCATCTTTCGTACTTGCTTTACTTAATTCTTCAGGATTCATGATGAATTTCGATTTTTTCTGAATATTTTACATGTATTACCGTAATTTTCTCTTCTTTTGTACTTGCTTATGCTGTTAGTGATAATCACACAAAACGATTGGCATAACTTGTAACTTCCTCTAGCATTTTGAGTAAAGTTTGGTATTGAAACCTTGCTCCCTATTCAGTCTTGAAAGTTGTTTTTGAATAGTTTGGATGAAATTGCATTCAAACTTCCCAGAATGAATTCGTTTCATATAATTTTGGATGGAGGGATTAATTGTTTCATGCAATTTCTGGTTTCAGCATCTTGTGTTTGATCTTTTCTTTCTTTGCAAAACCTAGTTAGCTGGAAAAAAAATGCATTTTCGCTTCTGCTTCTAAGTATTGGATTTCTGTATATTTCTTTAATATTATTTATGATATACTCGAGATATAACATATTTTGGGTTCTTTGATACATATATAGATTTTCTGCCATTAACTGTTCTAATAATTTTATATTTTCCATAGTTTCTAGCCAATACTTTAAGTGTTTTCTCATTAATCTGAATATTGGATTTCTAGATCATTTAAATCAAATTCTATTATTTCATCTATATCCTGCCATATTCATCTATATCGAACCATTCCTGATTCATAAGTTCTTCTGTTTCTGGGTCAAATATCTTTTTCCCAAATTACTTTTCTTATGTCGATTATTTCTATATTTTTTAGTACATATAAAAATAGTATCTTATAATCTTGTATCATTGCTCCATATAAATTATTCATAGCAAATTTTTTAAGACAATTCCCTCATATCATAACCTTGACGAATTTCATCATATTAGATTGCTATAAACTAGATTATTCTTAATATGTTTCCCTGTCACTACTAACATCGTACTTTCAAAGATACTTACTTCCTAACAGCGCCTCAACTTTGTCTACTTCCCTTACGGCTTCTCTGCCTATGGTTTCAACATTAGGATTGGCATAGTCTGGAAGTTTTCTCTTTTTTCCTTCATGTTAGCAAACTAGAAAACATACTAACAATAATTCTAGTAAATAACAACTAATATAAATTTATTCTATCATGTTATGATATTCAGGAATTAATAACTTTAGCTATACATAATGAAGATTTGTACCTGTGTATCTGCATTTTTGTCCATAGCTTTAACTGAAAGTTATATTTTATTTGAGAGAATATTTGTTTTTACAAAAGGCTTGCTTTCCGTGTAGAAAGTCTTGCCTCTATCTGCCATAATGGCTACCTATTTATACACATATAAGTAACCTTACTATGGTTACTTTATTCCTACTATGATTACTTTTCACCTAACTATAGTTACTTTACATTTTGTACATATTCCTAGACTAATACGTTAGTGCTTCTTTACATCTGCACTACTATCTAAAGTCAACAAAAGGACAAACAACTTTACTTTAATATTTAACACGTTACTTCTTTACAAAAAGTTGTATCTTAGCTTCCTTTTTCCGCTATCTTTCCATTATCTTCCACTATCTTCTTTTGTCATTTTGTTCATTCCAGCTGTACGTCTGGGATTACGTTATCTTCTCCTTGGCATTTTGAACATTGGTGATCTGGATATTTGTTTCCAATAGTTTTGCAATATCTGGTCATTATTTCTGATGAAATAAAATTTTTCCTTATAGCTCTTGTAGTTGGCTGTTGCTCAGGTTTTAGTAGACTTAGTGCCCATTGCCTGAGTTCTTCCATAACTGCTGTTCTAATTTCTCGACAATTCGAATATATCATTGTTTACAGACTTAGCTCCCATTGCCTGAGTTCTTCCATATTTGCTGCTCTAACTTCTCTACAATTCGAATATATCATTGTTTGTTCTCTTGAATAATAACTCCATATTGAATTTTGGTTTAAATAATTAGATGTTAATTCATTTAGGATAGTAGCTATTCCAATAACTCGTTTTCCTGCATAGAATGCTGGTATCTCCACTTTTCGTATTTCTTCTTGTTCTTCTATTTTTTCTGGTATGATCATCTCTCTGGTCAATCCAATTTTTTTAACTTGTATAATTGGCTTAATTTCATCATATAGTATCTCAGCTGGTGCTGAATAGAATCTTATATAAAAAAGAGTTCCTTTAGTTATTCTTTTATAGTTCATGAACGTCTTGTGTAGTTCCGGTATTGTAGCTATTTCGTCTCCTGTCTGGGTATATACTGTGTTTAATAATCCATAATTGTAGCAAGTTGCTACTAGATTTGCATTTGTCTTTGGTAAGGCAA